CAGAATTAGGAAACGACAGGAAAGAAAAAGAATTGAGAGTATAGTTTATTTTTACTCTGATTAATGAATAGTGGCAATAGAGATCTCAGATATTTTTACATAGTTCGATAGAGCAGAATCTCAGCTATACCGCTATATAAAAGTTTTTCTTTAATCTTAAAGAAATGTCACCGAAAAACGAAAATTAGTGAACCTGAAATTTCTCCTGCCAGAATTAGGGCATACTGCTCTATGCATCTATTCGGTTAAACCGAATCGAAAGAAGTAAAAGAACGAGGGAGAAAAGAAGGAAAAAGAAACGTTTCGAGTTATTTTCTTCCAGTATTAACAGAGAAAGAGAACTAGCCGTTACATTGTTTCTCTTTTGTACATAAGAGGAACCTCGAACAGTACATATATGGGAATAATCCTTTATGCAGTTGGAGGATCATAGTAAAATATGTTAAGTATTTGTTTTCCAATTCAATTTTCTCTGTAAACTCGTTAAGCTTAAGTAAAATCGTTTCCACCCGAAACTGCGACTTTCACTTTGAAAGAGAACTAGCCGTTACATTGTTTATACACAGATTATACAGATGTTTTCTATCCTCTTGTGTATAAGGCAACGATAAGTAAAATCTGTCTGTTTTTGTTTGTTATTCATATGACAAGATAGAAATAAAAGTGCAATCTCCATTCAAAAAACGGATTTCACATTCCCGAATATTGAGCGTAGACACCTGTCCCACTAACTCTTTGAGTATTTTGTTGTCATGTTCGAATCTTACGTGGTAATAATATGCGACACGAATCACCAAATCTGAAGACACTATAACGGAGAAAGCTCTAAAACAGCCGTAGTATTATTGCTCGCAGTGATGTACGGAGTTGCTGAAAAATTATGGGTCTCCTTGAGTAAACAAAAATGCATATTGTTGTGAAAATTTCTAAGAAATGAGCATTTTGTTTTTCACGGAAAAATGTTTTTACTGTTCGAAACTATAAAACTGTTGTCCGACCCATTAGTTGTCTAAACTAGACTGAGTGTCTGATTAGAACGGAAAAATCACGTCTTTCTCAATCGATTATTCTCCAAAATTCTGTTAGTAAACTTGAAGACTTTTGTTAGATGTTTGTATAAAATGAAATTCCGAGCGTCAAATGGTATCGCATTTCAAGCAATATTAAATATTTTAACTGGAAAGTGATTTCATTAATTCAATTAATCGCGTTGTTTTAGAAAAGTCAAATTCGCCTAATTGACGCAGTTCTAAATGTTGGATATCATGAATTCTATACATGCTGTTTATCAGCAACGATTCAAGAACATCAAAATCAATCGATAATGTATGCAAATAGGTTGCAGCAGCCAAAATATATTCACAAACAACTTTTCGATGCAAAGTATCGATGTCAGCATGAAATTTAAATTTTATTGTATGCGGTTTGAAAAGTATCGGCCTATTGACAGTTGTTGCCCCCATCTTTTTCACATCGATTTGCTAAAGCAGAAATTAATCAATATTCAAAAGGACAATTACTATGTAATCCACGTGTTTTACCTTAAAAATTTGAAAATGGCAATATTGTAAATTCTGAAATAATGGTGTCATATTTAAAATTGACTGTACGGCAATAATTGCTAAATTGATATTCCAATAGATCATTTTCTGATTTGTATACGATGATGTATTGATTCTGTTCAGAAAATAATTATTATTCAATTCATAGCTATCATTTCCGCCATCATACGGCATCGTATAAAGAATCAAAACATCATCGTTAATATAAAAATTAAATGGCCAAGCATTCGGTTGTCTATCAATATAATAACTGACAATCCATCTCTTATCTAACCAATAGATTGACCGAAATTTTTCTAATACGTCGTTGATAGAAAACAACATAGATGGGCGATTCAATATGGTAAATTGGAAATCGCTTAAATTAGGCAAGTAGCGACTCAAAAGGGTCTCCCATCGTGTACCATTTGCAAGTTCTAAACGAATTTTACACGGTGATAAGCGTGAGAACAACTGATCAGAGACAGAGATAATCATGAGCGATAAGAGAAGCAGAGGAATAAAAAATGAATTTATAGGAGGCTCTCATGACAACTCTTCGAACATACAATTACCAAACGAGACCTATCACCTTAACCAAAACACTTTTATATAACAGATTTCGGAGTATAATATAATGAAATTTAGCTCATTATACTAACGTTTTGCCTGTCATTTAGAGTATTGGGTCGCAATTAGTATGACTCTCATTTTGAAACTAGTTGTTTCTATGCGAGAATGTACAAATAACCTTTGCATCTGAAAAGGCTGCAGGACCTACTTAGTATCAGATGCTGATCCATATCGTTCGCTCGTTGACCACTTTCGCTTCAGAGATGGTTGCAAAATTTGGATAAGCGGTAGCAGAATCAAAAACTTCTTATTTTCTGTACCATGGACAACAGATCTAACTTTTTTTGTTGGTCTGACTAGGGAATGTCTCCAACTTCAAACCTCTTTTCTATTTATTGCAGGAGTACCTTGACATTGAATAATGATCAAAACGTGAACAACTATTCATCCTTCTCTAGTATCATAGTTACCATTTTCAACACAATTTGTCTTTTTGTCATTATCAAATACATTCAATAACCATAAACAGTTCACTTTATCCAATGATACATATTTAATAAAAGTTGCAATATTATCAAACAGAATATTCTTTACTTTAAGACATTTCAAAAATTGAACGTTTATATGTCGTATATTATCTTTATCGATGATCGGTATTAATAAACGTTTTCGATGAAAAGTAACATCCAAATATTTAATTTTTGGTAAACTATAGCGTAAGATAAATATGAATTCAGAATAAATTTGTAATGATATTGTTAATTGAACAACATTAGGTAAAATTCTTTGAAGGCGGTTCCTAAAAGATAACAAAGCTATACAGTTATTATTCAAATGACAACCGTTCAACGGTTTGTGTTGTGTGATTATCGTAAAAAGAGAAATCTTTTGCCCACAACGGCATACTAATGGGAAGAAAAACTGATTTAGAAGCAACTCTATCGAATAATAAACAAATTTAAAAAATATCCTCTGGATACCTTCGGAAAACATTTTACTGTTCACTGTTATTTTAATGCTACTAGTACACAAGTTTATAGTTTGAACAAAATCAAAAATCTTTCAATGCTGCTTCTAATATGCTAATATATATCTAAGAGATGAACAGCTTCAAATGGTGCATGAACCAATTGTTGAAAATTCATTATGACGCAGTACTCTAAATTTTATTTTAGTACTGCTATCAGAGCTCACGCTTTCCAGTATTGCTATACTATGGCTATTCATTTTCCATCAGAACCATAAAGTCGGTTTAATGCAGAATAATGTGAACTTTACACGGAATATCATTGCAGTGATAATCTTGAAAATGCTATTAGAGTTTCAGTACTTTTTAATACAGTCAAAAACAAATCTTTATCTTTGAAACGCTTCTATCTCTGACAATACTTAGTGCAATATCACTAGCGTGTTTCCAACCAGACTACCAAACCAAATCTTTGTAGGTCAAAATGGTGCAGAGATGCACGGATGAGGTTTTCCACATTCCATAAGACAAATCTCAGGAAGATGCTGATCCCATTCCTGTTTTTATAAAACCTATTCCATTCTCGTTTGTCCTGTACAATCTTTATAGACGCCAGAGACAGCAACAAAAGAAAATTCACAGACAACAGAAAACAAGACCGAAAATCTCATTAGAATGCTGTCTTTTAGATTTCTCTCTTTAGCCGTTTTCTAATTTCTCACCCTAGACAAACATTTTTTGTTATTTCTGGTGAGAATCTTATTTGAGTATTATCGGATTCTTACATAGGAATTACGCATGAAAATGGCAAGAATTTCGTACGAATCCGATAAGATTTAAATAAGAATGAGCTTTGACTTTGATAAAACGCTTCTATCACTTTCTTATGAAATTCTTACTAAGAAAGCAATTACCGTTTTATTTTGCAGAAACACATGCACCACTGATTTCTTGGAAAGTTTCTTCAAGGTAGGTAAGACTGGTCGTTTTGAAAATGCCTCGCGACCTCTTACACACTCATCAATGAACTGTACAGCTCAAATGGACTACAGTCTAAAAATTGGAAAATACAGCTCACTTCAGAAAAAATTTAAATTTTTTTCGTGTTTTCTTGCGCAAACCTTTTCAAAGTGATTTTTTCTGATTTGCCGTCGAAAAATTTTGAAGTTAAAGGTCTGTCCAGTACGGCTGTGTCGAACGCTCCTACTAGGGTATGCTAGTATGCAACTTGCAAACCTATGTAGTCTTTTTGTATGAAGACATAAAGCCAAGTGTCTTACCTCATTAGAACCGCTGAAACACGAGCTTTAACAGTACCAAAACTCGCTTGTATTTAGCAATTCTGACCATCACACTTTTATTAAAGAGCAAAATGAATGCCATATTCAGAATCAGCATAAAAACCTGACTCGAATGACATATTTTTCAGCAAAAAACATTTGTCGTCAAAAACACATCACAGGTAAAGTTTTTGAAAGAAAGAACTGTAGGAGAATACACGTGTACTTATATTTTCTATTGTATTATACGCTATAACGGATGGCCCATAATAAATTGCACGAAATGTTAATGCATTTTTCTATCACTTCCCATTTATAAAAAGGTTTCCGTTATATACTCAACGATAGAGAATTTAATTCTCTATAATATTGTATATTTATTTTAAGATTCATGTTGCATGTGCTCTATTAGACTGTGTAACTCATAAATAAAAGTACTATTTTTTTCCTGAAAAACTAGGAAATACTAGATGTCGCTAAGGTGGACCCCCAAACAGGAGAAAATGACGTTTTTCAAAAACTCTTTTCACTCGGATTTCATCAAAAAAATCATTTACTTCGTCCAAGAAAAGCCATTATACTGTAGAAAATTTCTTGCTAAAGTATACCTGTAGTATACCTTGTTGTGTTAAATGAGTGATTTTTTGACTCACCAGTTAAAAAATTTGATTTTTTCTTGTTAGAGTTACTACACCAAACATCCATCTTAAAATAACACAATATTGTAGAGAATTCAATTTTCTATCGTCTGGTATATAACGGAAACTTTTTTATAAATAGGAGTGATAGAAAGATGCATTAACATTTAATGCACATTGTTATGGGCCACACGTTATTTGTGGAAATCTCAGTAATTCTAATAATTCATAAAAACAGGAGAACAGCAAATGAAATCCCATATGGTTCTTTTTTAGATCCAAAACTTTTAGACAATGAATTCAGTTTCCTTAAAAACGAAAAAATGCAGGATATAACCACATTTTTTTCAACCTCTATACTATGACTATTCCTATCTTCACAAAAATCATATAATATGATATAATCAATGTGAAATAAGTATTCTGCGTAATTAATTACATAGATACCACTAGACACTTGAAATGACCTCAACAGAACTTGTTATCGCTGACATTTTTTTGTGAAACGATCACACCATTTTTCAGAAAACCTCCATTAGTGTCATCAGTCGTCGTTGCATGCTTCTCCTAAAGTTGATGATATAATATAACAGTTGAATGACGTCAGAAAGAAAAACTCTCAGCCTCTCTTATTTATTTTTATAATAACCTACTGATTCTAGAAATCTGCTGATAGTCCCGATTGATTCGATTGATTTTTGAAATAAAGGCACTGCCTTTAAAAACTAGGAGTTGACAACTTTGACCTGACTCGGTCTTGATCAAACGTTGCTTACTTACGCTAGTTCGTTTCTTCAAGCGTCATAGCAAAGATTTAGTTAGTTTTTACTGAAGTAACTTGTGTCTTGCTTAGCACTTTAGTAAACCAACCTGCTTATCTGACCATTAGACAAATACAAAGTGATTATTGTAGAGGGACTAGGCAAGTGACATCAGCCATCACGGCGAAAATAATATAGGTCAGAAAATAAAGTGGACATTTAAAAAGCGGTTTTTTCCATTTTCAGTTTAGAAAAAACAGTTTTACATGGACTACCAATCATTAAAAATATTGGGACTGGGAGGACAACAACGCTTATTCACATATTTTTCAAAATACATAACAAACATCTTTTTAGATAATTTTGTCCTTTAGAGCACAGGCTATCTTTTCCATCTACTAAAAGGCCTTAGAACTACATTGGTGTAATAGAAGCGTGGTTAAGACAGATGCGCCTATAAATCTTATTTCTCTCTTAATTGAAATGTTTATGTTTGAGATTACAATTGAAATCTACCTAACATTCGGGAGTGTCTATGCATTAAATAAACTCTATTAAGGTATTGAAAAAACAATGTTCAGTCTCCACATTGAATAATATAATTATTGAATAGTTGTCTTACCTTGAATCAAACAAATATGACAGGTTTAAACTGTCTGGAAGGTGACCGTCATGCACCGAATTACTGAGAACTTTGATTGTCATCTTTTTGAACGATATATTCTCTTCAAATATGGAACTAATTATTCTAAAATAGGTGAAATCACAATAATGAAATGTAACTTTCAACTCCAATAAGTATATTAAATTTAACTGGAATTGTCTTAAAAAATCGGAAAATCCAGAATAATATGTAAACAAATTTATAAGAATAAGCTTTTGAAGATATGGGAACAAAAATATATTCGCTTCCCAGAATGAAAATAATGTTCTTAGACAGATAAAGTTGTCTAATTGAATAGATGTTATTGAATGAGCAATGAATGGATGATGATATTTAAAATAATCACAAATTGTTTTATATGATACAAATGATATTTCCAATATATATTTTCGATTCAATATGATACGTTCAATACGTTGATTTGTATAATGAAATGCGATAACAATATCATAAACTGATAAATAACGAAAGATTTCTATAATAATTTCTGTTGGAAGCGTATCAAATAAAAGCATTATAATAGGAAGAGTAATTTTATACGCTATGTAGAGAACAATACATCTGAGTACGAACTTTTATTCAACGAATAATAACACATTATAGAAGAGAGAAAATTAATAAGTTCTTATATAAATTCGCTATGTTTCTGTTTAGCGATAAAACTAAATATATATTAACTTCGTAACCATGACAGCATATGGTCTATCGTAAAGAGGACGAGATTAAATGTATTGAGTCAGTAGTTATCAGTCCACTTTTTAAATTTTTATTCAAACGTATATCGATAAAGAGTTCAATTTTAGACAGCTAAAATTTTTTTTAGACCATTGAAATGACGTATACTTTCAGTATCTATTGAGGTGTAGTAATGGAAAAGCTATTTTTGTGAAAAAGAAAAAATCTGTCAAATAATGTCTTCCATAATGTCAGTCAAGAAACGAATAAATGATGATC